CCCAAAGTTTGCATGGCTAATAGGAAAAGTTTTACCAAATATTAACAAGACAGAACTCAACCAACAGTTTTGGGTTTGGGGGGTTTTTTTAAATCACAAAGTACCGATTATCCAAAATAAATTCAACAGTCCTTAAGCTCATGGATCTCCCAGTCTACTGGGTCAAACATCCAAAGAGCAAATACAACTTGAAAGTAATATTTGATATATGTAATAATTTCCAAATAGGAAATAACTTGGAAATATTGTGATAGAAATACGCATGAGGCATTGCACACAGAGAAGGAACCTGTGGTCTGGGCTGCTGGGAAACAGACGGCTTCTCCAAGATGCCCAAACTCAGTCTTGATAATCAAAGCATGTAATAAGAAAGCCTCAGCACATGTGGGTTGCTGAAATCCCTAAATGTACGAGCAACTAGATTTCCTCCTCCTTCTAAGAACAGAAACCAAAACACAACACTAGAGAATTTCCAACCACCAGCTCACTCCCAAACACACAGAGTGACTGCCTCAGTTCCCCAGACGGGGCAGGGAGCATCTTTGTCCTAGACACCCTTCTAGGAGACTGATGATGCATGAGCACAATGAACATGGTGACTTCAAAGAACAAGATGGTAGCCAACATCTTGAGAGCAGTCCAAGGTTGGAAACTGTATTATAGCAGGGGGAAAATTGAGAAAAATGCTTGAGGAAAGTATTAGCTATGTTGGGATAAACAGTAATGCTAGTCAACCACCAGCACTGCAGTGGGCTCAGGTCAACCTTGGGACCGTGTAAATCTGGCTTCACCCCTCTCTGCCCAACACCTCTCTCATCACAGACACAATGAGGCCCACCTTCTCTTCCTCCAGAGATGAATGGCCCTGAGCTCCTGCAGGCCTCTCTGAAACTCAAAAATGTCCAGAGTCTTACCTTCCTCTTGGGCCAGGTACAAAGAGCTCTTTATACAGGGTGTTCATCTGGAATGTCTCTGTGGCAGGGATGGCCCTCGGGAGTCCCCATGTGTAGAAGTGCAGTGAAGGAAGAAAGGGACCTCTGCCTGCCACTTGTCCAGTGGGAAGAGATTGAAGACAGCAACCTCCTCAGAAGCACCAGAGACAAAGAAATGGGTGAAGCAAAAAAAGAAGAGGGCTCATTGTAACTGCTCCAAGGCAGAGCTGCACAGGCCCTGGAGCTCCCACCACACTCCCGGGTCTGAGGCTTTGATGCCCTGGTTCCCACTCCAGGAGGGGTTGAAAGAGGGTAACTCATGCCTTTCCCCAGAAAACTTCCAGAAAGACCCCAGCACAAGGCTGTCTAGAAGTAGAGTTTCTTTTTAGAGGAAAGGGAAGCTTTAGAGTGTTGGGAAGAGGACTATTGCCCTGTAAATGACTGGTGGTGGACATCCGCCAACATTTGTTCAAGTATGTCTGGTTACACCTGTCATGGAATTTTTCTTCCAAGGCTGAGGCACTGGAGAATTGCTATAGTAAAGACTGGGAACCGAATGGTAGGAGAGAGCAAACCAGCTGACAGTCTCGTCTAATAAAAGACAAGTACTTTTATTAAATAGCTATTTCCACTTTTTAAAAGTACTATTTTTTATTCTCCACCCATCTACACAACACACACAGGCGTACTTATTGTAGGAGAGTTTTGAGAATAAGGTCAGGGACGGGAGGGACCCTGTCAGTCGCGTTCACCACGTTACATTCTCAGTTCATTGGCACAATTCAGAAACATTAATTGAATGAATTTAATATTTGTACCATGTTACTGGGTTCTTCTTTTTGAGAAGAAAAGAGAAATTTAATCTTTTTGACTCTCAATGGAACGATTTCTAGTTTACATATGAGTCTGTCAAGGATTAAAGAACTTGCTCAAGACCACAGTCTAACAAGTGGTGAAAACCTTTGAACTCTGGTCTGACTCCACAGCCCATAATAACAATCACTATATCCATTGCATCAGGTAACATGTAGTAACTTTAGGGTGAGGCTTCAAACATTCTCCATAAATCCTTTTGTGGTTTTCTTAAATCCTGTCAAATGTAGATGTTTCAGTGGACTTTATTTGACCCTTAAAAAGATAAGACTGTTGAGCTCAATGGTCTAAAGAAGTTAAACAGCACCTTAGAGAATGTTTCCTATGGACACATTTCTTTTTTTTTCTTTTTTGAGTCAGAGTCTCACTGTCACCCTCGGTAGAGTGCCCTGGTGTCCCAGCTCACAGCAACCTCAAACTCTTGGGCTGAAACGATTCTCTTGCCTTAGCCTCCCAACTAGCAGGGACCACAGGCGCCCACCACAACACCTGGCTATTTTTTGTTATAGTTGTCATTGTTGTTTAGCTGACCCTGGCCAGGTTCAAACCCACCAACTTTGGTGAATGTGGCTGGCACCGTAACCACTGTGCTACAGGCACTGAGGCAGGACACTTATTTCTAAATGTCTTTATCAGAATCTAATAAAGGAAATAAGTCAGCTTAGGGTAAGATAAAATTACAAATGTAAGCTGAGGCTTTAAACAGTGGGTAACAATTTATCAGGCAGAAAAGAGGGAATGGGAGAAATTCTATGTGAAGAAAAGAAAAGGAAGGGATAAACGTGGTTGTTGTTCCGTCACAGAATACAGAATGCTGGGGGGTTGGAAGGTGACTGAAAACGTTGGTTTAGAACCCTGCCAAGAGCAAAATATATTTGGTACCTTACTGAGGAATCCTTAACTTTTCTTTTATAAACTTATTTCTATAAGGAAAGGACTACATCAGATTTTAGAAAATAAATTGGGATAAAATGCAAAAGATTCAGATTATATATATTTTAGAACATTGGACATAATTGTAGTTGGAATTCCATTGTTTTTCTCATACTCTAATTTCCTGCTATGATACCCTTATGACCTCTATACCATGTTTCCTTAGCGTTGTGCCAGAAACCACAAAGTTTCGGACAGTGGAATGAATCCTCCTTGTTAACAGAGGAATTATCTCATGGAGTGAAGCCCTCAAAAGACGTTCCAATCAAAGCAGTAACATTTGCTAAGCTAGTTAGCGTTCTTTTAGGTGACTCTACTCCATCTGTGGTTGTGAGTGTAAAAATTTAATGACAGAGAATCAAAAAAATCCTACAATATAAGCGTTAGAAAAGGCCTAAGATCAGGTCACTCAGTGCCCCCACGCCTCCATTGGGGCCTAATCACTGAGTGCAGCATACACCTGATACCCATAGGATGAGGGGCCTCAAAGACGGCCCCCACTAGTACATGTGACACATTTTAAAGTTTTTTTTTTTACATGAACTTGAAAATTTCCAATGCAGGGAAGATATCTGCATTTTAAGAATCGGGAAGGTCAAGCTCAAATCTGACCAAGGTCACACGGTCAAGCCACACCAGTTTGGAACTCTGTGAGCCTGCTGCTTCCCCTCCTGCTCTTGGTAAATGGCTTTGTCTGTCTGGGCTGCTATAACAAAAATGCCATAGGCTGAGTTAAAGAGTAAATATTTATTTCTCACATTTCTAGAGACTGGAAGTCCTGGACGGAGGAGGGGCCAGCAGATTCCATGTCAGGTGAGGGACTGCTTCCTGGTTCACAGACTGCTGTCATCTCACTGTGTCCTCCCATGGCAGAAGGGGCAAGGAAACTCCTCTGGGTCTGTTTTATAGCGGCACTAACCCCATTCATGAGGGCTGTACCCTCAGGACCTGATCTCCTACCAAAGGTCCCACCTCCTAATAGTACCATCATATTGGGGGATAAGATTTCAACATGTACATGGGGAAAAGACACAAACATTCAGTCCATAAAATCAGACTGTGAATAACCTGAGCAAATGTTTTGGCAAGATTTAAGGGGAGTAAAAGGATAGATAGTAGGAAAGAAACAGCACACCTACCCTACAGATACAGTCAGAAGTTTTATAAAATCATTAATGAGCATTAGGAACCTTGGGCAAAACAGGCAGTTTCCAAAAATGATTGTTTTAATTTACTTGATCCGATTCAAGAAGAAATAGTAAACTGAAGAGCTTATAACTACTAAAGACTTTGAAAGAGTAGTTTAAAATATAACTATAGGCTTGGCGCCTATAGCACAGTGGTTAGGGCGCCTGCCACATACACCGAGGCTGGCGGGTTCAAACCCGGCCTGGGCCAGCTAAACAACCATGACAACTGCAACAAACAATAGCCAGGTGTTGTGGTGGGTGCCGAGTCCCAGCTACTCGGGAGCCTGAGGCAAGAGAATCGCTTAAGCCCAAGAGTTTGAAGTTGCTGTGAGCTGTGTGACCCCACCGCACTCCACCCAGGGCGACGTAGTGAGACTCTGTCTCTCTATAAAACTGCCCCTCTGGACAGGGAATCCCACGGTGTCCACTTACGCTTCAATGGGGTTGGAGGAGCACCAAGTATCTCCACCCTGCCAGGTTGTGAACTTCAGGGACACAATTAAAATGACTCAGAGAAGGTGAAATTGCTCAGAGATGGGTCAGCCCTTCAGATCAACTCATGAACTTAGGGCATTAACTTGGGAAGGTCTTGAACAATGGAATGTCGCCTTTCCTCCTCAACAGGAAATTGAGGGAAACACCACTGGTTTCCAAACGGTTTTCAAACAGTAGACGACACGGGCTGGTGTAACAGCGAAGCTTCAAAGAGATACGGAACGTCAGCCTTTGTACAGAACTTGGGACCCACTGAAATCTGAGAGCTTAAAAAAAAAAAAGTAAGGAAAACCGGTGCAGAACCGGGGACGCATTCAGAACTAAAGCGTTGCAGGGCAGGGTTTAGGAAGTCTCAGTGCCAGAGACCAAGGTGTTCACAACGCTAATTGTATATGGAAAAACACTGGTAGCCTTTCGGCTCCTGACCCGCTTCTTTCCCGGGGTAACGGGCCGCGCCCCATTTCCGAGGTCGGAGCCCCTTGGGCTGACAGCCACCGCTCCCCTTCCCGCCGCCCTCCGGATCCCGAGGTGCCCGGGGTGCTCGCAGCCCTCCCTGCGGCGCCCCGCCGCCACCCACCTCCTCGGCGTCCTGGCCCAGGGGGATGCCCAGGTTCCTGAGCCCCTCCTGCAGCTCGCCGATGTCCACCACGCCGTCCCCGTTGCGGTCCAGAGTCTGGAAGAGGGTCTCGTAGCGCGTCGGCGGCTCCGCGTCCTGGCAGGCCGCCGCGGGCAGCACGAAGCCCCGCAGCCAGCGCAGCATGGTCCCGGCGCGGGGCGGCCCGCCGAGGCAGTCACCGGGGCGGAGCGCGGCGAGGGGCGAGCCGGGCCCGCGCGAGGCCAGGCGGGCAGGGGCGCGCGGCCAGGCAGCCTGCGGGCCGTGGTCGGGGACCGAGCTCCGGCGCCGCGCGCAGGGTGTGGCCGTCCCGGGCGGCGGGGCGGGGCTTGTCCCCGCTGGCTCGGCGGGAGGAGCCGAGGGCCGGGCCGGCCGCCTGGAAGGGAGGAAGCGGAAGAGCTGCGGGGTGTGTCTCGGGTCTTTGCGGACCGGGGAGCGAGCTCTGCCCGGTTCCCAGGCCGGCTGTCAGGGGTGCGGTAGGCAGGAAGCCCTAGCAAGACCCTGGGCCGCAGCGCCAGCGCGTCGGCGGAGGGGGCCGGGGGTCACTCAAAGCCCCTCCGGCTTGGTGGCCGGCGGGACGACCCTAGGTGTTCAGAGGCGGAGCCAGGGCGGACGTGATCTCTAGTTTGCTGGTGTGACCAACTCCACAGACACTGCGCTTCCCCGGGCCTGTTTTCCACTCACACACACAGAGCTGGGGGGTTGATGACCTGGGATGGGAATTCTGCTTTAAGAAGCGGAGGCTTCAAATCCGAAAGCACCTGTCCAATTTTAAGAAAAAAACAAAAAGGAGAAACCCAGAGGTTTTTGCAGAAAAGATCAACATCCGGTAAAAAGAGGGACCCCCTCTTGGTAAATAGCTTAGCCAGCATGATCTGCCCGTGACTAACAGAAGTGTCTGCCAGCAGCACTTAGCAGAAAACCTCAGGCCTGCTCCCCTTCAGTTGCAGTGCTGAGGTTTGGGATTTATAACTCAGGTGAGACAGAATTGCTTACTGCACACCAGGGGATAACCCAAGGAACGCTGCACTTTCAGACAAAGTACAGAGTCCTAATCCTTCAACTGCACAAACTTGGCAATGTGGCATAGCCTCTGAGTAGCTTCTCATTAGTAAAATTAGAGTTAAATACCTCAGCCTCAGGACAAAATTGCACATTGTATGTGAACGGTCTTAATTCTCTAAAGCCCAATAAAATGAGGTGTTACAATTGTTAATTGTAAGATTCTCTGGTCTTGCACAGCTGCTTAATAGCAACAATTGTATATGTTATCTGAAGAGAAAAGACACTTCTGCACTTGGAGATTAGGCTCTCCCCACATCTTCTCAATCGCTAAACAAAAGCCAGTTGTTTCAACAGAACCAGGAACTCAGACCCGGAATTTACCTACCCTCATTCCATTTTCTACATTTAAGACATATGTAAATGAACACAAGGACTGCCTGTTTAGTAAAATCATCTTGCAACTTCTTTATCTGCTTATGCTGCTTCCAACTTCAGTCTTAGGAATTATTTATCCCTTTCCTTTGGCACGGCTTTTGAACTTCATCACATTTTCTCTGTGTCCTTGAAAACCTCTTTTAATTAACCCCTGTGGATACTCTGTGCTTAACGGGGAGGCTTGAGAGTCACCAGCACCTACATGCTTTTGCTTTCCTTTTTGTTTTTCATAAACACTTAGACAAATTATGTGTCACCATTTTCTTTTCTTTTTTTTTTTTTTTTGTTGTTGTTGTTGTTGTTGTTGAGATAGAGTCTCACTATGTTGCCCTGGGTACAGTGCCATGGCCTCACAGGTCACAACAACCTCAAACTCTTGGGCTTAAGCAATTCTCTTGCCTCAGCCTCCCAAGTAGCTGGGACTACAGGCACCTGCCACAATGTCCGGCTATTTTTTGCTGCAGTTGTCATTATTGTTTACCTGGCCCAGCCGGGTTTGAACCCTCCAGGCTCAGTGCATATGGCTGGCGCCCTAACCACTGAGCTACCAGCGCCAAGCCAACGTGTCACTATTTTCATTGAGAAAACTTACCTTCATACAAAGCCTTTTTCTTGAGACAGAATATTGATCTGCCAGCCCACCTAGAGTGTGCCAACTTCATCATAGCTCACACTCAAAATTCATAGCTCAAACTCCTGGGCTCCAGCGATCCTCTTGCCTGAGCCCCCAAAGTAGGTAAGACTATAAGCCTGCCACACCACACCCAACTAATCTTTTCTATTTTTAGGTGAAATGGGTCTTGCTGTTGTTTCAGGCTGGTCTGGAACTCCTGAGCTCAAGGGATCCTCCCACTGTGCCTTCCAAAGTGGTAGGATTACAGGCGTGAGCCCCATGCCCAGACAACCTTCACACAAAAACTTTTACATGTGTGTTGTTTATAGAAGTTTTATTCATAGCTGCCAAACTCAGAACCAAGATGTTCTTTAATAGATGAAGTGGTAAACAACCTGTGTTGCATTCATACTAGATAAAAAAGAATGAACCCATTATTACATGGGATAATGCATTATATGACATCTGGAAAATCAAAACTATAGGGACAGAAAACAGAGCAGTAGATTCTATAGCTGGAAGTTGGGGGAAGGGGACTGACTACAAAAGAGTGTATGTTCTCTATCTTAATTACGGGGAGTGGTAGTTCCACAAACAAATGTGTTTGTCAAAATGACAAAACTGTACATTTACTAGATTTTACTCTATGTAAATAAATCTGACTTTAAATCTGACTTAAACATGAGTAAAATGGAATGAGAATTCTTAGCTCAAAAATTCACCTGGAAAATCAAATCAAATAGTTTATAAAGTATTTGAACTTTAAGCCTTGCTATCAAAAGAGTCAGCCACAGGCCAGCAGCATCAGTGTCACTTGGGTGCTTGTCAGAAATACAGAATTTCAGGCCTGCCCAAACCTATTAAACAAGAACTGCACTACACCAGAGCCCTGGATGACTGTTTCATACATTAAAGTTGGAGAAGCACTGCTAGTGTAAAGCAATGCCACCACCCACCCAGGGTGCAAAGTGTGATTTGCACTCTGATCCAGTCTGCACGCTGTTACCTGTATTCAACAAGATGAATCAGAGATTGAGAGGAAAGATTTGGAAACTTTATAGCAATTTGATAAGGTAATTTTATGTTTGTTGATTTTTTTTTTTTTGAGACAGAGTCTCATTTTGACACCCTTGGTAGAGTGCCATGGGGTCATAGTTCACAGAAATCTCAAACTCTTGGGCTCAAGTGTCTCTCTTGCCTTAGCTCCCGAGTAGCTGGCATTATAGGCGCTCACCACAACACCCAGCTATTCTTAGAGACAGGGTCTCACTCTTGCTCAGGCTGGTCTAGAACTCCTGAGCTCAGGCAATCCACCCACTTCATCCTCCCAGAGTGTTAGGATTATAGACCTGAGCCTCTGCACCTAGCCTATGTTGGCTGAATTTAGTAATAAAACTCAAGGCTTGACTTATTAATTTCAATTTTCAAATAATTCATTGTTACCATATCTTACAAACATATGTCTGCAATGGACTGAGAAACACCTTACAGGTAAAAGGTGTAATAAAACCTAGCAACTCCCTGCATAAGAAAAGGAAAGTTTATATACACATTTAAACATATGCAGGAGGCTCAGCGCCTGTGGCTCAAGTGGCTAAGGCACCAGCCACATACACCTAAGGTGGTGGGTTCAAATCCAGCCCAGGCCCGCCAAAACGACAGCTGTGACCAAAAAATAGCTGGGTGTTGTGGCGGGTGCCTGTGGTCCCAGCTACTTGGGAGGCTGAGGCAGGAGACTTGCTTAAGCCCAGAAGTTGGAGGATGCCGAGAGCTGTGATGCCACGACACTCTACCCAGGGGAACAGCTTGAGGCTCTGTCTCTAAATAAATAAATAAATAAACATCTACAGGAGAGAAGGCATTCCTTGCCTGCTTCTATTGGTGATTCCCCCAAGCCAGTAGCTTCTACAGAGAGCAGGAGTAGCAACCCTGAACTCACAATTCCTTAACCCAATTTATGTCTATGGTCAGAATAAAAGTCTAGAGTTCAGACCAGTTAAGCTATATGCTCAGAGGTGATTTAATAATTTCATGTCCAAGATGCATCTTTTCTATCAATTATATCTAAAAGATACAAAATGGCTAATTCACTAGTTGTACTTTTTTTTTTAATTTTTTTCCACCTGTCAAAACCACGTACCTCACCATTTTGAAAAATGATTAAAAAGTCTATATTAAGACTGTCGCTAGCTTTTAAAATTTTAAATTATGTTCTTAAGACTGATATATTTAAGATACAAAAATTAATTTCTACATCTAAAAATCAGTAATCATTGAAATTGGATCAATATTCTCTACTTTTATTTTTACATGTAAAACCCCCATTGCCCTCACTCCCTCATCTTTGCCTCCCTCTCTCCTTTCTCCTCTTCTTTTAAATTTGATTTACTTATTTTAAAAAATTTATTTAGACAGATTTAGGGAGTACAAGTGGTTTGCAGATACATGGGTGCATTATACATCAGTGAAGTCAGCCTCCCTTCCAGTCTTCCTTCCTGAATCACCAGTTAAAAGCCACGAGGCAGGCTTGAATGAGGAAATTGCCCTACAAGAGTGAGAGCTCAAGGAAGGAAGGTGCTGAGCAGGGCAGTAGCTTGACGGGACTGGGAAGCTGGTTACATACAAAGGGATTGAGCAAATAAACATACCCAGAATGTAAGAGCTAAGGGCTGAGAAGCAAGTTACAAGTATGAAAAGGGTTAAACTAAAATGAACCCTGTAGCATCTGATTGTAATTAATGGCATTAATATGAGTCATGGTTATAAATATTTTTAGATACAGAACTATAAAGAGGCGTGGGTATATGTGTGCACACGACATACATACATTTCCTAGATCTGTCCATAGACGGGGCCTAGTAGCAATAATATCCATGTAGCAACGAGCATATCCAGTTCTCAGCTCTTTCTTTCTAAGTACCATTCTCCAAAAGAAACTAGAGTGCTTTGAGAAAATGCCGATTTCAGGACAGGAACAGCAAAGGTGCAAGATGAGCACAGAACATCTGGTTTCAACAGAAAGTCTAAAGAAAATGAAGATGAGTCGAAGTTCTCATCGGCCTAATCTAGGATAATTGGAGCACCAAAATAAATGAGGTTAGCATGTTAAATAAAATAGGAGTCCACTGGTCCACATGGATGTCATACAACTGGAATAACAGAAAATCCTTCTCTATAGTTAAATGTAACTAATAAACATGGGTGGAATGATGGAATTAGGATATCATCATCTGGTGATTACCATGGTAACAGTAATTAATTCAGGCAAG